TTCCTTCCTTCCTTCCTTCCTTCCTTCCTTCCTTCCTTCCTTCCTTCTTTCCTAGACTTATATACCGCTTCCCAGTGCTTCCCAACTCTCTCTAAGCAGTTTACAGAGTCAGCCTCTTGCCCCCAATTATCTGGGTCCTCATTTTAGCCACCTCGGAAGGAGGGAAGAGACAGACAGACAGAGACAGGGGGGAGGGGGGAAAGGAAGGAAAGAAAGAAGGGAGTTTTGCCCCATTTTGCGACCTTTCTTGCCACGGTTGTTAAGTGAATCGCTCCAGCTGTTAATTTAGTAATACCGTTGCTAAGTGAACCTGGCTTCCTCATTTGACTTTGCTTGTCAGAAGAAGGTCACAAAAGGGGATCACATGACCTTGGGACACTGAGACCATCAAAAATGTGAACCCGTTGCCAAGGGTCCAAATTTGGATCGCGTGACTCTGGGGATGCCAAAGCAGTTGTAAGTGTGAAAAACCCAGACGTAAGTTATGTAGATTTCTCAAACATCTGGGTCACGGTTGTCCCAAAGGTGCTTTTTCTGAGGGGCAACTGGACTTTTCTTGGTTTCTCCTCTGAAAATGTTTCGCTTCTCACTCAAGAGGCTTCCTCAGAGCTGAAGGAGTTCTGACGAAGCTTCCTGGAGGAGAAGTGAAACGATTTTAAAGAAATAAAACAAAAACCAAATGAAGAAGGAGCTATTGTCTTTCGGAAAGAACGCCTTTGGGATCGTCCTAAGTCACGTTTTGCAGCGGCCCTGTGTGATGACCCAAAGGGGCGTGACACAAAAATAACAAAGTCACAAAAATAGAATAAATTCCCTTTAATGCCTCCAACTTGGCCCCAAAGTCCAATTATCCTTGGCAGGATATCAAACTCTTAAAGAAAACAGTCTACGGAGGGAGTAAAGGAGGGAGTAAATGTAGTCCGCACCCAAAGTAAAGTTAATTTGAAATAAAAAACTCAATACAAACCACACTGAAGGAATTACTATAGGCAGGCAAGGATGATTAATTGCAGACTTCTACCAGGTAACTCAGCAACCACAGTTGAGAGGAAGCCAAAACACAGATAAGCTCCGACAAGAATGCACACTTTGCTTCCAGCAACTTTGCTATGTGCAGTTTGTCCTTTTAACCAGTCCTCCCAGCTGCAGCCTGTTGTGGCCCCGATTCCTGAGCCTATGCTGTCAGAGGAAGAGGACCTGGAAGATGAGGAGGAGGAACTGGGAATGCCTTCCTCCCCAGGACCTTCCTCCCTGGTAATGCCTCAGGTTTCATCAGACAACCGAGAGGAACAGCCTGAGATTAATCAGGAGGAGGAAGGCATATCAGAGCAGCCCCTGACAGGGAGTAAAGAGGAAGACTGTTGGCTTGATCCTAAGCAGCGTCGTAGGGAGAAACCTGAGCAGCAACGTAGGAGGTGTGGGAGGGTCAGAGAGTGAGCTGAGTCATTGAGCCACAACCCACAGGGGATAAAAGTGGGTGTGTTTTCGGCTGGAACTTTGTACGGGACAAAGTTTGATCTTACTTCAGGTTTTCTTCGTGAATGATTTTTGTGGACTGCCTTGTAATTTTCTGTGAGTAGATTTTTATTTGTTATCAGTTCGGACTTGGCAGGCAGAGGGTGTTGGAATGCCAAGGATATTATCAGTTCCAAAGAATTAACTCTGTGAAGTCCGAGCCAGCTTGCCTGCTTGTGTTTGTGCGAGTTTGTATTCTTTCATCTTTTGGGAAGGAAGAAAAGTGAGACAGAACACAGCCCACGAAGGGGATCAGGGCCCCTTCCTCCCACATCGACCACTCCACTCACATTTCTCCCTTCTCCGCTCCTCCCTGATCCTTGCCCTAGGATGAGGAGGGGATGGCCCTGGGTCTTCCTCTGAATGCCCAGCTGGCCTGTACCCTTCCCTAGTTTACTCCACAACCACCGGAGCCCCACTCCCACTCCCTGTCAGCTGTTCCATCTCTCCCTCGGAGTCAGACTCCACCAGGGGCATGACACCCTGTAACTTCAATCGGTCACTAAATGAATGGTTGTATGTGGAGGACCACCCGTGCAAGGCTGTAAAAGTGCCCCATTGAGGACAGAGGTTTTCTCAACGGGAGAGAAGAGCTCTATTTTGTAACTTCCCGAGTCTCTGCAGCCCAGAGATCGTGGATGGTGGCTGAAAAGTCCTCAGCAGTTTTATCCACTGCACACCAGTGGTGGTATTCTACCGGTCTGGATCGTTTCGACCGAACCAGTAGCTCCGATGATCAGCTGTGAGCGAACCAGTTCGCTCCAACAATAAGCCGCTGGGGCCTCCCTCTGCCTCGCTTCTATACTGACCTCTATTTCCTGCTTTTCACCCTCATCTGCTTCGCGCGGCACAGCCGATTCCCACGCAGCAACTGTTTTACACACAGGGCTTGCAGCAGAAGGTGAGTTGCAAACGCTGCACACTCACACTTGAACCGGCAGGAACCCTTTTTGAAACC